GGCCGGCGCCCGGCGGGGCGGGGCTGACCCACTTCCGCGTGCCCGCCCCCCGGTCTGCGGCGAGGAACAAAAGGGCCGCCGGACGCGGCTGCCAGGGGTCCGAGTCTCGTGGGAACCCCAGGTGTCGCTCGAACCCCGACCTTTGCTGTGCTCCAAGCAATCGACGACATAGCGACCTCATCCAAGTCCCCCACTCACCCGAGTCCCAGCTCTCAGACACCCCAACTTCATCTGAACTTTAACCCCAGTCATGATATACTTGCCTACATAACCGGCACTCAGGACTGCAGGACCCCAACGATCCTGAATGAATGAATGACTACACTACTTCACGCGATCGGCCGCACATCCCACCCAAACCCCATCCTGAGACACCCTCACGTATGTGGACCCCAATATTTGCCACGATCTCAATTCCTCCTGCTTCCCAACTTTGGGGCATCCTAACTTCACCCGACCCAGTTTCCCTACAAACCCCAACCCGCACTCACACCTAACTCCGACCCCAACTCTGACTTCTCCTTACCTGGAGAGGCGTCCACATCCCAACACTCACCGGGCCAGACACTTGTGCATCCTGCTCCAGACCACAGGCTGATCCCCCACCTGGGCTCCCAAACTCACTGCTTCGCCAGCCCTCCAGTCCCCACTGCACCCTAACATTCAGCACAGCCTTCGGCCTCCCCTCCCCCATGCACTCCAGCCCCCCTCCAGCACCTACTTATGCACACCCAGAACCCACTCACTACCCACGGGAGCCCCAGGGCCACTTTGCTCCTCCCCTGTGTCCTTTCCCTCTCTGGGGGGTCCCAAGACCTTTCCTATCAGGAGAACCAGCTTTAGAGAGATCCTCACCCCCACGGCTCCTCCTGGGGAGCCCCTCTTGTGGCCATCACTCGCCCCCTGCCCAGGCCTCAGCTCCTGCTGCCTTCCCCCGAGCATGGAAGAAGCTAGTGGGGACCCCTGCCTGCGCAGATCAGAGGCCCAAGCCATAGCCCTGCCCTAGAAAGTCTTCAGAAGACAGACCCTCTGCAGAAGAGGTAGGGGAACTTGAGAACAGACCCCCCCCACCCCCACTTTGTTCCTGCCCCACTGCAGGCCTCAGACTCTCCCCCACTCTCAGGTGGGTCTAAGCTGATGCAGCAGGGCATGGGAGACACTGTCTCCCGTGACAATGTCCCTAGGACTCCTCCTCGGCTCAGGGACCCCTCTCCCCCAGCAGCCGCTCATGACTCATGGCTGCCTCCTCTGCACCTCGCCCCCCCACGCCGCGGCCCCCCCTACAACTCCCCGTCAGCAGCAGCCTGCTGCTGCGTCAGCCACTCACGCAGGGTGGTTATTAAAAGGAGCAGAGAGAGACATGGGTGCTCAGCTCCCCCCTTCCGCTGGCCGCCCATGGCGGCGCCTGGGGTCAGGCGTGCCCAGTCCAGGAGCAATGCCCGCCCACCCTTTCTGATCTGCTCTCCCAGCAAAGTTAAGGCGCCGGCTCCTCGCCCCAGCCTAGCCCAGGGGGTCCCTGCAGCCGCGGCGGCCCTATCACTCTCTGCCCCCCGCCCCGCCCCCACGGTTCTGTGGTTCTGAGTCCGCCTTCTCCTGGTTTTGTGAAGTGCCCTGGTGCATTCATTCATTCATTCATCCCGCCGGCACACATTCATTAAGCGTTTACTACGGGAGCCAGTTGCTGGGTACCAGGCTCCACGTGTACCCACGACTGTCCTGGGTTCCATCATGGCGTGGCCCCATACCTGTGGATACCTGTCGCCAGGTGCGCCGGCACCGGGCCTTGTGTGGGAACTCTGTGCTTGCGTCTCAGGTGTGTTATCTGTCTTCGCACCTGTGTTTCTGCGTGTCTCTGTGACTCGGTGTGGAACCAGAGCCGTGCGTCCCCGTGGGGCGCTCTCACGGGGCTGGGACCACCTTCATTCCAGCCGAGGCCGCTGCACCGCGCTCTCCCCGCCGACACGAGGGGGCGCTGCGGCCTCGCGGTCAGCCTGGCTGGGGGCTCCGGATCCCGCCCCGCGGTGCAACCGCCGGCCGCGGGCCCCAGCGTGGGAGGGGGCCCCTGGCCTGCCCCCGCGCCTCGGCCCGAGCGCCCGGGGGTGGCGGGGGAGGAAGGGGCTCAAAATAGCTGCGGGCGGGGGCGAGGCTGCTATTCGCGGCCCGGACGCGGTGCTCGCCGCCTGCCTGGCGGGAACTGGGATTAGGCCAGGAGGTCCCCCGTGGGCGCATTCACAAATCGCCCCTCCCCAGGAGGCCGCCTGGGCGGAGGGGGCGCCCGCCTCCTGGACCACCCCGCGCCGGGCGCCCCGCCCCCGCGCCGGTGTCGCCATGGAGACGGGGGTGGGGCCACCTCGCTCCCGCACCGCCCCTCAGCCCTCCCGGCAGGGCCGGGCCCTCCGGACGCCAGGTCCTCCCCCGACCCCGGCTAATGACCGGGCGGGAGGCAGTAATGAGCGTCTGGGCCTGGGCCGGGCGTGGCCAGGATGAAAGGCGCGTGTGTAGGGGGGACCCCGGGGCCGCGTAATTACCGCCCCCTCCCGGCCGGCCAGGCGGGAGCCGGGACAGTGCACCTGGCGGCCGCCCGGCGGGGGCGGGGAAGTGGGACCGCCCTGCAGAGACCCCAGCCCGCCCGCCTCGCCCAAATCCGCGGGGCCCAGAGCCAGAGTGAGGGGAGCGGAGACTGGATGTGCGTGCGTGCGCGTTGCCAGGTGTGGTGCACATGTGTGCCCCTCGGCAGGGGACTCGTCGGGGTACAGAGATGGAGAAACAGGGATTCCTGGGGACAGGTGCTTGTGTGGACACGAAAATGGGGCTGTGCGCATGTGCGCACGGGTGTGGAAGTGTGGGCCTGGAACTCGCACGTATCTGTGTGTGTGCGCAAACTGGTGCCGAGGTGTGTGCGTGCATGCGCACACATGGGAACATGTTTGCACGGTGCCCCACGTGCAAGAACACGGGGTTGTGCGTGGACCCCAAAGTGTGTGCATAATCGGGATGTGGATGTGGGAGCAGCCGGGGACAGGGCTGGGTGTGCGTGACTCCGGTGGGCCGGGATATCCAGAGCATATGTGCTCATGGCTGGTGGTGTGACTCACGCCCCTGGGGTGGCACGCAGGCATGCTGTGTCAGCAGCGGCCAGTGCCTTCGAAGGCGGTGGGGAGCTACAGGAGGCCAGAAGCCAGAGGAGGAAGAGTTCAACTACCCCTCCCAG